TACGTTGTGTAGCTGCTTACATAGTACTATGTACTCCTGACCATCTGTCAGGGATGCGGGTGCGACCAGAAGTGTGTGGACTGACACAGGGAAACGCAGGCTTTCAGATATGGTAAATAATATAATTTATTAAGACTAACAATACAAACATAAACGCAGTGCACCAAACCCCAAGCCAACACAAATACATACAACAAGGTGAAACAAACCCAAACCTAAGCTGATATAGATACACAGGTACATACACATATAGAGCACAACGTAGTCAGGCAGGCCGGGTCGATAATTATCGGGCAGGTAGGTACAGTGAGGAGCAGGCGGGAGAGTAGTCAGGTCACGAGCCGGGTACAGCAACTAATGGACAGGTAGTACAGGGGTCAGGCAGAGAATGGTCAGGGTCACAAGCCAGGGATCAAACAGGAGAAGTCAGCAGAGGCCAGGATCAGGCAGGGTCGGCAACAAGTCAGGCAGAAACAGGAACAGGAATGCAGGTTACAAGATACAGGGGCCCATGGAAAAACACACACCAAGGCACAGACTACAGGTCTGGCCATCCCTTAAATACAACCCCTGCAATCAGCTTCAGGTGATGGCTAATTGCCGAAGTGAACCTCTGGTTGTTGAGAGCACCCGCTGGCCAGCCTGGTACTGCAGCCCACAAGGCAAGTGAGTCCCACCACTATTGGCAAGTCCATTCCTGACACCATCATACTCTGTCTACTGTACTTTGTGTTACATATTCCTGACTGCTTTACTCTGTACACTGTGTTGTATGTTACATTCCTATAGCTGCCATACTGTGCATTACCTACTCTTGACAACTTCAAACAGTCTTCTGTCCTGCATGCTAATACTCCTGACCTCTGCACTCTACATTGGGCTGTACATTACATACTCCAGTTCTGCAGTTTGTCCTATAGATCATGGCATTTATCTTTCAGGCATAAAGCATTTAAAGTAACCTACAAATAAAATAAAGACTTTTTTTCAATTTCAAGTTTATTTTGGATGGAAAGTATGGTAAAATTATTATTATTACAGTTGCAAGAAAAAGTATTGAACCCCTTGGATTACGTGGAGTTTTGCATGAATTGGGCATAAATGTGCTCTGAACGTCATCGAAGTCACAACAATAGAAGAACACAGTCTGCTGAACATAATACTATACAAACATTAGATGTTGCCATGGTTTAATTGCACATAACATGTAAACATTCACAGTGCAGGGAGGAAAAAGTATGTGAGGCCCTAGCTTAATGACTTCTCCTAGAGCTAATTGGAGCCAGGAGTGAGCCAACCTTGACTCCCAATCAGTGTGATGGTATTGGATGTGTTGCTGACAGCTGTCCTGCCCTTAAATAACACACACCTGTTTTGGGTTTACTAGTTTCAAGAAGCACTGTCTGATGTGAACCATGCCTCGCAGAAAAGAGCTCTCAGAAGACCTACGATCAAGAATTGTTGACTTGTATGAAGCTGGAAAGGGTTACAAAAGTATCTCCAAAAGCCTTGATGTTCATGTGTCCACGGTAAGACAGACTGTCTACAAATGGAGAAAGTTTCGCACTGTTGCTACTCTCCCTAGGCGTGGTCGTCCTGTAAAAATGACTGCAAGAGCACAGCGCAGAATGCTGCGTGAGGTAAAGAAGAATCCCAGGGTGTCAGCTAAAGACCTACAGAAATCTCTGGCACATGCTAACATTTTTGTTGACACATCTACAATAAGGAAAACATTAAACAAGAATGGAGTACATGGGAGGACACCACGGAGGAAGCCATTGCTGTCCAAAAAGAATATTGCAGCACATTTGAAGTTTGCAAAAGAGCACCTGGATGTTCCACAGCACTACTGGCAAAATATACTGTGGACAGATGAAACCAAGATTGAGTTGTTTGGGAAGAACACACAACACTATGTGTGGAGAAAAAAAGGCACAGCACACCAACATCAAAACCTCATCCCCACTGTAAAACATGGCGGAGGGAGCATCATGGTTTGGTGCTGCTTAGCTGCCTCAGGGCCTGGACGGATTGTTGTCATTGATGGGAAAATGAATTCCAGAGTTTATCAAGACATTTTGTAGGAAAACGTACGACCATCTGTCCGCCAGCTGAAGCTCCACAGAGGATGGGTGATGCAACAGGACAATGACGCAAAGCATACAAGTAATTCAACAAAACAATGGCTGCAACAGCACAGAATACACCTTCTGGAGTGGCCCAGTCAGAGTCCCGACCTCAACCCAATTGAAATGCTGTGGCATGACCTTAAGAGAGCGATTCACACCAGACATCCCAAGAATATTGCTACACTGAAACAGTTTTGTGAAGAGGAGTGGTCCAAAATTACTCCAGATCGTTGTGCAGGTCTGATCTGCAACTACAGGAAACGTTTGGTTGAGGTTATTGCTGCCAAAGGAGGCTCAACCAGTTATTAAGTCCAAAGGTTCACATACTTTTTCCTCCCTGCACTGTGAATGTTTACATGTTATGTGCAATTAAACCATGGCAACATCTAATGTTTGTGTAGTATTATGTTCAGCAGACTGTGTTCTTCTATTGTTGTGACTTCGATGACGTTCAGAGCACATTTTATGCCCAATTCATGCAAAACTCCACGTAATCCCAAGGGGTTCACATACTTTTTCTTGCAACTGTATATAAAATATAACAGTGTCTTCATTTTAGTTCTCATTAGTGCAATGATATTGGGGGACATGCATGTACCTGTATACAGCAAACTAGAGTTATAGGCAAGAAAACATAGCAATTACAACTAACAATTTAAATACAGAAACTGTAATGTGGCCATAAGCATGGTGTGCAGATCTCTGCATGAAAATATCTTTATCATGTTATAACAGGAATATTCCCTCTCCTATTCTCTTCCCCAGTTTTCATGTGTGGAATTTCACAACGTCGAATCCCTAATCTCTAATCACCATTAAGATCGTGTTCATTAATATATAAATATTTGAAAATTTAGCATGGTAATAGGAAATAAAGCCTTTAAAAATATTAAAGTGACCTTGTTGCCCATAATAAAAGCATGTTACCTGAAAAGAAAAACTGTAAATATCTAACTCCTGTTGCCTGTGCCACTGAATGCCAAGGCAATTCTGCCAAGAGCCCTGCCTCTTTTTTTTTTTTTTTTTTACATATTTATTCAGAAAGGTTTACCATTACAATGAATAACCGATAAGGATACAAAAACAAGTCATATGATGTCACAATTTCAGGGGCGTATTTACCACGAGGCAAACAAGGCGTTTGCCTTGGGTGGCATTTTTCAGGGGGGCGGCACTGCCCCCCAGAAGAAGGGACATGCGTGCAGGTGACAGAGATTGGGGACCAGGTGAGGCACTGCCTGAGCTCTGCCATATGATCTGAGAGAGGCTGCGGGCTGCTGGAGGGTGTAGATAGAGGCCGACTCTTGTTCCTACACAAGGACAACACTTGGTTTTCCTGACCATATCTCTGGGGATGGCCGGCTGCTTTTCTTCCGGAGGTGAGTGCTGGAGGAACATCTATCTCTGTTCTCTCTCTCCCCTTTTTTAGGTTGTGTTGGGGGGGCAACCAATTTTAATGTTACCTAAGGCAGCACAAAAACAAAGTACACCACTGCACAATATAGATGCAATACCATAATATCATATGATGTGCTCAAAAGTTTGCATTCCCTGGCAGAAATGGTGAAATTTTGGCATTGATATTAGAAATATGACTGACCATGCCAAAAAACTGTCTTTTACTTAAGGATAGTAATCATATGAATCCAATGCAGGGATCTCCTGATACCAATCCAAGGTCAGGTAGAACAAGAAAGATTGCAGCCACAACTGGCAGAAGAATTGTTCAGGATACGAAGAAAAACCCACAAGTAAGCTCAGGAGAAACATAGGCTTCTATGGAAAAAGACAGTATGGTTGTATTAAGGAGCACAATACAGTGATACTTGAACAAAATTGAGCTGTATGGTCGAGTCACCAGAAAGAAGCCTTTACTGTGTGAACACCACGAAAAAGCCCGGTGAAGCATGTCAAGGTGTTGGGCATATTGTAAGTGGGTTTTTTTGTGACATTGGCACAGTAAAGACTTCTTCCTGGCAACTCGACCATGCAGCTCATTTTTGTACAAGTATTGTCATATTGTGCTTCTTGAAACAACCACACCATCTTTTTCCAGAGCAAGCTGTATTCCTCCCGAGGTTACCTGAAGGTTTTTTTTTGTATGCTGAACAGTTCTTCTGGCAGATGTGGCTGCAATCTTTCTTGGTCTATCTGATCTTGGCTTGGTATCAAGAGATTCTTGAATTTATCACTTATTGACTAGTACTGAATGGCATATTTAAGGCTTTGGATATCTTTTTATATCCTTTTCCCTCTTTATAAAGTTACGCAGGTCTTTTGACAGTTCTTTTCTGCTCCCCATGGCTCAGTGTCTAGCTTGCTCAGTGCATCCACTGCTACATAAATCATATGCCCGTACTCAAGATGGCTGTGGCCAGAAATGCTATGGGGTGTTTTTCTCAGTGTGATTCTCTGAGTGATTTCTAAGCAAAAAAAAAAAGAAGCATGGAGATATGGATGAATAGGTGAGTTTGCTTTGAATGTTAAAATGTAAATAGCGTTTTTGGTTTGAGGTGCTCAGATGCAGTGTAGTTCCACTTTAAGTGGATATTGATGTTCATTTAAATAGAGTTCAAAGCAAATAAACCACCTGCCTCTCTAAAGCTGCAGCTGGGGAAGAGTAAATTTGGAAGTTAATTGCTCTGCGGTATGTATACAAAAGGACTTTGTGTGGTGTTGGCTCGGAAGTGGGTGATGGTTACCTTCCTGCCGCTGAGAGAAACCTTTCTCCTCTTGTATCATGTGCCAGGTGAAAGGGGCCCTCATGTGTCATGGGTCCTGGGCAGGGCGGAGACCATTTGGAAACTCGGGCACTGCCAGAGGGCCGGGGGTCAGTAGGGGGCCCCATGAGATGCCCCTGGTACCTTTTTCATAGGCTTTTTTGAGTTTGGGCAAGGACACAGGGGCCCCATGATCGCCTATTACCCGGGGGGCCCCATGAGTTTGTCAGTCCGCCACTGGTCCTGGGTCGGATTCCCAGAGCCTTAACCTGGACCACGAGTAAAACATAGGTCTATGTGAGAAGGTGCTCTGGGCATTAGGTGGTTAATAGACTGTGACCTCTACAAGAGCAGAGCTTTTGAGAGTGCTGGGAAAACGAGATAACCCGCCTACAAATGTAAATTATGTAAAGCCTGCTTAAATTGTTTGTGCTATTTTATATGCCTACTGTAAAATAACAAATAAATAGAGGATTTATCATGTTTATAAACACATTCTTTGGTACCCCTCACACTCACATGCTTAATTCTGGGTTTTTTGCATTGCAGGACATTTTGTGGGACATGGTAAGGGGAATGTACAAAACTGTTGTAGCATTACCTAAAGCGGTATTAAACCCAAACACAAAATGTATTATATTGCAATTATTAGATGTGGTGGCTGCATTAGTTGTTTTTATTTTTTTTTTTTTTCTTCATTTTCACCTGTTGTTATTTTTCAACTGACCAAGCTATCCAGCAAAAGTGGAAGTTAGTGACAGGGGGTGCTTATAATGGTCAGCTTTTATTTATTCCTGTAAAACCTTTATCCCAAAAAGATTTATCTGGAATCTGGCTTTAATTTGTTAGTCGAGTCCACTTCAATCTGCAAGTAGTGCATTCAACACTACCCTCTTCCTAGACAATCAATGATGCTGCTCAAAGGTGTCTCCATTGCTCCTCCATTCAAACTGGAGACACCCTAAGACAGGAAGCATGTTACTGATGAAAACTGATGCAGCCACTTAAAGCATACCAACTAATTCAGTTTAACATAGAAATGAAGGGCAAAAACATTTGTTTATACATAGAGATGAGCGAATTATTCAAAAATTCGATTCGGCTGATTTGCCGAATTTGTGGGAGAAATTCGATTCAATGCGAATTTATTCGTGCCGCGAATTTAACTTATTTAAAGGGTTTCTAGGCTTCAGAGAGCCTTTATATTAGTGCAGAAACACTGTAACCTTTAATTTAAATGCCCTTGGAGTCCTGCTGGGGAAGAGAAATAATACTGTCAGTCATATGACATGCAGATGAGTTCGATCATTAGAAATCACCGCATACTTCACTCATTTGGGCAGTCACGGGGCACGACGAAAGAAGAAGAAGAAGAAGAAAAGAAGAATGAAAAGAAGAATGAGAAGAAGAAGAAGAAGAATGAAAAGAAGAATGAAAAGAAGAAGAAGAAGAATGAGGAAAGAAGAATGAGAAGAAGAAGAAGAAGAAGAAAAGAAGAATGAAAAAAAGAAGAATGAAAAGAAGAAGAAGAATGAAAAGAAGAAGAAGAAGAAGAATGAAAAGAAGAATGAGAAGAAGAATGAAAAGAAGAATGAAAAGAAGAATGAGAAGAATGAAAAGAAGAATGAAAAGAAGAAGAAGAAAAAATGAAAAGAAAGAATGAGAAGAGAAGAATGAAAAGAAGAATGAAAAGAAGAATGAGAAGAATGAAAAGAAGAATGAAATGGGAAGAAGAGAATGAAAAGAAGAAGAAAAGAAGAAGAATGAAAAGAAAAGAAGTAGGAATGAAAGAAGAAGAAGAAGAAGAATGAAAAGAAGAATGAGAAAAAGAAGAAGAAAATGAAAAAGAAGAAGAATGAAAAGAAGCAGAAGAAGAATGAAAAGAAAGAATGAAAGAAAGAAGAAGAAGAAGAAAAAGAAGAAGAAGAAGAATTGAAAAGAAGAAGAAGAAGAATGAAAAGAAGAATGAAAAGAAGAAGAAGAAGAATGAAAAAGAAGAAGAAGAAGAAGAATGAAAAGAAGAAGAATGAAAAGAAGAATGAAAAGAAGAGAAGAAGAATGAAAAGAAGAAGAAGAATGAAAAGAAAAATGAAAAGAAGAAGAAGAAAGAAGAATGAAAAGAAAGAGAAAAGAATGAAAGAAGAATGAAAAGAAGAAGAAGAAGAGAATGAAAGAAGAAGAAGAATGAAAAGAAGAAAGAAGAAGATTGAAAAGAAAGGGTTGAAAAGAAGAAGAAGAAGAATGAAAAGAAGAAGAAGAAGAATGAAAAGAGAATGTAAAAAAGAAGCAGAAGAATGAAAAAAGAAGAATGAAAATAAGAAGAATGAAAATGAAGAAGAAAAGAAGAAAAAGAAGAACTGAAAAGAAGAAGAAGAAGAATGATAAAAGAAGGAAAGAATAAGAAGAAGAAGAAGAAGAAGAAAGGGAAGAAGAAGAAGAAAAAGAAAGAAGAAGAATGAATGAAAAGAAGAATGAAATAAAAACGAAAAAAAGGAAGAAGAAAAAAGAATGAAGAAGAAGAAGGAAAATGAAAAGAAAATGAAAGAAGAAGTAAGAATGCCAAAGAAGAAGATGAAAAGAAGAAGAAGGATGAATGAAAAGAAGAATTATTCAGTACAGCAAAAGCCTGGTATTGCAGAGAGACACTCCGCGAGCAATTTCTGACAGTTCTCTGACAGTTCATTTCACACTTACCCAGCGGTTTCCCCAAACATTGTATCTATTTATTACGAATAAAAACACTGTATCCTAAATGGAAACAATAGATACAAGTTTCAAACCGCTGTAAATGAATGTCAGAACTGTCAGAAATAACGGAGCTCTCTGCAGTGACACTTTTGCCGGCTGATCGGAAAAAATTCGATTCGTGCACCCGAAGTTTGCTAAAATTCGATTCGATGTCGAATCGAATTTTTCCCGATATTCGAAACGAATTCCACTTCGCCTGGTTCGATTCGCCATCCTCTATTTATACATATAAAAAAATGTTAAATAACTTTTTATCTCTTTTTTTACAATTAACACCCTTAGCTGCATAAGGAGCTCAGAGCTAGGGGAGGAGAGGCAGCAGCACACTGATGTTTCCAGTGAATAGCTGTGCGGGAGATAGGAGAGGGGGGGTGTCAGCACAAGTCTGATCAATGTAGGAGAGCAGGCTGAGTTCTCAGCACGGCTGGAGAACTCACCACACTAAAGCCTCTTGCCTAGTGTGGTCAAGATTTAATGGCGTGGCTGGGAGGAACACCAGGTATTTGACACAAAGGAAGCAATACAAAGAGAACAGGATACCTTTATGAAATTTTGGGTTGACATTGTCTTTAACTTAAGGATTGGTAAGTTGCAATATTACATTTTTGTTTTGGGGTTTTAATACTGCTTTAACCACTTCCCAGTCGGCAGTTTGTATATAAACAGCTGCACGGTGCACTGCAGGGTCGGGTGGCCCCTGTTTATAAACGGCCTCCCCGCACCCTGCTTGTGCGCACATAAATCCCCGGGAGTGCGCAGCACCGCAATCCGGTGCCCACAGTGAAATACCGATTGTCGGAATGGGACCTCTGTACGAGGTCCCGATCATGTGATCACTGATTGGCCAATCAGTATCACATGCAAAGTAGTAAGCAAGATGTCACTTGTGACATCATTGCTTACTACATGTGAAATCTGTGAATAATCACAGAGGTCACATGGTACAAGGCTATTCACAACAGCCTTGTACCATGTGACAAGCTGTGACCAATCACAGCTCACTCTCAGTAGTTCTCAATAGCTGCAAGAATGCAGACAGAGAGAAAGAGAATGATGATTGCTTTTACATCCTATAATGGGTGTAAAAGCAATCAGTGTAAAAAAAAAAAAAAAAAAAAAAAAAAATCTTCATCACCACCCAAACGTAGTACAGTGTCACCATGGTGACCCTGTACTGCTAGGGTGACAGTATGTAAAAATAAATAAATAAATAAAATAAATAATAATATAAAAAAAAATAAAAATGTAAGAAAAATATTTAAAAATTATAATTTTTGGTTATAAACTAATTTGGCTTATTTTTTTTACTAAAAAGATAACGGAATAAATTGTGGCCAAGATTTAAGATGAAATACTATTTATTTGCAAAATTTTATAAGAAAAACACCTTTTTTTCAAAATTTTTGGACATTGTCATTTACATAGCAAAAAAAAATTAAAATCCCAGCAGTGAATAAATACCACCAAAATAAAGTTTTATCTGTCTCAAAAAAATGGTAAAAAATGCATATGGGTACAGTGTTGCATGACCGCGCAATTGTCATTCAAAGTCATTCAAAGTGTGATAGCGCTGAAAGCTAAGAAAATTGCCCTGGACAGGAAGGGGGTAAAAGTGTCCGAACTGGAAGTGGTTAAGTAACAGACAGGTGAAGAAGGTGATCCCCCACTCTGACTTCTACTTGACTAATACAGCTGTCAATCAGACGCTGAAGGTGTTTTCATGTGTTTCACTTCAGATAACAGGGATAAGTTGTGCTGTTACAGTAGGTGATATGCAATGGGAATAGGACATTTACAATTTGACTCAGCACACCATACGTGTACTACGCATACAAGGCCGGGTGATAGACTATTTTGGGCCCTAGGCAAGACCAGCTACTTGCACCCCCTCCCCCCAAAAATACTTCGCCTCCACCCCTCCTAGCACACATCCGCTTTTCCTCTCAAATTTTCCACCTTGCGCCAAATCCTCTCCCCAAATCCCCCCTCATAGCATAAATCCCTCCAATCCCACCTCCTAGCACAAATCCCCCTAAATCCCGCATCCTGGCACAACCCTCTCCAAATTACCCTTCCCAGCACAAATCCTTCCTTCCCACCAAAATCCCCCCCCTAGCACAAATCTCACCTCCTCTTAGCACAACTCCTCCCAATCTCCCCTCCTAGCACAATCCCCCATCCCTCCTCCTACCACAACCACACCACCCAATCCCCCTCTCCTGACACAAATTCTCCCCAATCCCCTCTCTTAGCAGAAAATCCCCCCAATTCCTTCTCCTAACACAAATTCTCCCCAAATCCCTCCTCCTAGCACAACCCCCCCCCAATTCTCCCTCCTAGCACATAACCCCTCCCTGCCAATCCCCCCTCCTAACACAGTTTCCCCCCAAATCCCCCCTCCTTATATAAATCCCCACTTAATCCCTTCTATTAACCAGGGGCGGACTGACCATTTGGAAACTCGGGCACTGCCCGAGGGCCCAGAGTCAGTAGGGGGCCCCATGAGATGCCCCTGGTATCTTTTTTTCATAGGCTTTTTTTTTTTGAGTGTGGGCAAGGACACAGGGGCCCCATGATCCCCTATTGCCCGGGACCCCATGAGTTGTCAGTCCGCCCCTGCCTCCTAACACAACCCCCCCCCCCCAATCCTCTCTCCTAATACAAATTTCCACCCAAATCCCCCCCAATCCTCTCTCCTAGCAAAAATCCCCCCCCAATCCCCTCTCCTAGTACAAATTCCTACCCCCTTCTCTAACACAACCCCCCCCCAATCCTCTTTCCTAGCAACCCCCCCCCCCAATCCCCTCTCCTAGTACAAATTCCCACCCAAATCCCCTGCCCTAGCACAACCCCCCCCCCCCCCCCCCACACCCAATCCTCTCTCCTAGAAAAAATTTCCCCCCCAATCCCCTCTCCTAGTACAATTTCCCACCCAAATCCCCCCTCCTAGCACAATCTCCCTCCTAGCACAAACCTCCCCCTCCTAGCACAACTCCCCCAATCCTCCATCCTAGCACAACCCTCCAAATCCCCCCTCATAACACAAATCCCCCGAATCCCCTCTCCCAGCCCAAATCCCCCCCCCCATCCCCTCTCCTAGCCCAAATTCCCTTTAATCCCCCCTCCTACCACATTTATTAAATAGATGAGGGCCAACAAGCCCTTAGCATTTCTGGAGTGGACTTAATTCAAAGGGGAAAAATTAGCACTGAGCGAAAATTCCAAAGTCATCACAGCTGCAACATTTATAGCACACTGCACAGATTTTCAGTGGTGTTTTAAATACAACACATTTTCTGTTGTGGGGAATATTCTTGTTGCAGGTCATGGACATTTTTAGAAGGAGACTGCCTACATACTGTATATACATGACATAATTACATGTGTAATATTTTTTCATAAAGTATGAAAACTTTTGTACTAGGGGTAGCACTACCCCCTTAGGAGTCACTGAGTTATTTTCAGGCTCCCTGTCGCGCTGAATCCCTCTCTGAAAGCCCAACCCCTGTCAACACCACATTACTCTTCTGACCAGAGTAAATTATCACCAGAAAATAGACTCACACAGTGAACTGATATGATGTCTATATTAAACCCGAATGTAAGCTCAGTCAAACAGTAAAAAGTGGTATATATCTACCTAATGGCAATTACCACTCTTAGTAACTCTAAGCAAAGAAACCAACACATACAGCAAAATCTCAATCAGTATTGGCAGGCCTGCTATTCAGAAGTTATCTCAAAACCTCAAACCTGAGGTGCTTCTAGTCCCCAGTGAGCAAGGAAACTATCAAAGGTGGAACTAGCTCACTTTGGGCCCTTAGGATCTGATGGCAAGGTATAAATCTGAAATAGAAAGAAGCTCCTTTAATTAGCGTAGTCAACATCCCTTTAAAGCAGTGAGGAACCTTCCGCATGCTCGTTGGGGCCCAGTTGGTGCACTACAACAATCCAGACTTTTTAAGTGGGAAAAGATGAAAGTTGCAGTCCCTCAAACGATTAATACCAGGGACGAAAAAGAAAGAACAGATACTATCCCTTTAAGTGGCACTTAACTTGGGAAGTGTTTCTTTAATGCACTAAGCAGGTTGCAAAGTTTAGGCAAAAAGCTGTCAGGAGATGGCAGAAGCACTTGCTGGGTTGCAGTAACTAATGGCAATGGTGGTAGATGTTCCTGTAAGTGGGTAGGCCAATGGTTACATAGTTACATAGTTAGTCTGGCTGAAAAAAGACAAAAGTTCATCCAGTTCAACCATAGAAAAAAAAAGTTATAATCCTACACCCACCATTGATCCAGAGGAAGGCAACAAAAACCCAGCAAAGCACGATCCAATTTGCTCCTGCAGGGAAATAAATTCCTTCCTGATCCCCGGAGAGGCAATCAGATATTCCCTGGAGCAACTTTACCTATAAATGTTAGTATCCAGTTATATTCTGTGTATCTAAGAAAGAATTCAGGCCTTTTTTTGAAGCAATCCACTGAGCTGGCCAGAACCAACTCTTGAGGATGTCTATTCAACATTTAAGGGAACACTGATACAAACAAAGAAGGCGTGCACTGGCCCCCATGTGCTTGTATGCATGCCTGACAACGTCAGGGCATGCTCCTAATGAGACAACGGATGGTGTCCTGGGTATTTCCTCCCATATCTAGATCAGGGCATCACTGAGCTCCTGGACAGTTTGAGGTGCAACCTGGGGGCGTCGGATAGACCGAAACATGATATCCCACAGGTGTTCTCTTGAATTTAGGTCAGGAGAGCGTGGGGGCCATTCAATGGTATCAATTCCTTCATCCTCCAGGAAGTACCTACATACTCTTGCCACATGTGGCCGGGCATTGTCATGCACCAGGAGGAACCCAGGACCCACTGCACCAGCATAGGGTTTGACAATGGGTCCAAGGATTTCATCCCAATACTTAATGGCAGTCATGGTGCCATTGTCTAGCCTGTAGAGGTCTGTGCATCCCTCTATGGATATGCCTCCTCACACCATCACTGACCCACCACCAAACCGATCATGCTGAACCATGTTACAGGCAGCAGAACGTTCTCCACGACTTCTCTAGACCCTTTCACATCTGTCACATGTGCTCAGGGTGAACCTGCTCTCATCTGTGAAAAGCACAGGGTGGACCTGCCAATTCGGGTGTTCAATGGCAAATGCTAATTGAGCTCTATGGTGTCGGGCAGTGAGCACAGGGCCCACTAGAGGACATCGGGCCCTCAGGCCACCCTCATGAAGTCTGTTTCTGATTGTTTGGTCAGAGACACTCACACCAGTGGACTGCTGGAGGTCAATTTGTAGGGCTCTGGCAGTGATCATCCTTTTCCTCCTTGCACAAAGAAGCAGATACCGGTCCTGCTGATGGGTTAAGGACCTTCTACGGCCCTGTCCCTCTCCCCTATAGTAACTGCCTGTCTCCTGGAATCTCCTCCATACTCTTGAGACTGTGCTGGGAGACACAGCAAACCTTCTGGCAATGGCACGTATTGATGTGCCATCCTGGAGGAGTTGGGCTGCCTGTGCAACCTCTGTAGAGTCCAGGTATCACCTCATGCTAGCAGTAGTGACAATGACCCTAGCCAAATGCAGAACTAGTGAAAAATAGTCAGAAAAGATGAGTAGGGAAAAAAAGCTCAGTGGCCTCCAGCTGGAAAACCATTCCTGTTTTGGGGGCCATCTCATTGTTGCCCATCTTGTGCACTTGTTGTTAATTTCATTAACACCAAAGCAGCTGAAACATGTTAACACCCCCCTCTGCTACTCAGCTGACCAGATTAATATCCCAGGAGTTTAACTGACTTGATGCTACTCTGATTAAAAAGTGTTCCTTTAATTTTTTTGAGCCGTGCATATTTATAGTGAAAATATACATACAGTATATTATTGTTCATATATCCATAAAACTCAATCCCTCTTTAACTCTTGTTGTGCAACAAATATCATAGTCAATGTGACCTCCACCATCCCCTTGTGGAAACATTCTTCTCTTAATAGATGGATGTTTAACCTATAAAAGGTCCATATTTGCCTTTTCTCTTTTAAACTGGGAACATAAAAAAGTGGATGACCAATGGTGAACAATGGAAATCACTCCTTTCATGGATCCTTAACCAGGCAATTAACATACATAGAGCTCTCCATATAAATAAAATCCATTGTGTTCTCCTTACTCCGTCCTGCACACGCCTCTTATGAAGTCAATTGTGACGAAACGCGTACAGCACATTTATATATGGTATACTGTATGTTTATATAAGTTTGATTGTGTATTTGTATTTGATATAGATGTTGTGATTGGACACTTTGTTGGATTATTTAAGAGCTGGACAATTCATTTGACAACTGATTGGTGCCTTGTGCTGTCTCTCCCTTTACCAGTCTCAGCTTTGTTGTATAGGAGATTGATACCAAGTCAATACATAACCTGCATAAAAAGCTTGGCATGGATTTTCAGTCAGTGAAGGGCTTTCAGTTAAAAGTTATCTGGGTGGCTCTAGAACCACCTGAACACTTTTATGGAGCTCTGAAGGTGTGCTCCGGGCTCTCTGGTTCTTCTGGTTAAGTGCCCATTGACATATATGCAGATTGGATGCTGTTTGAACCGCATCCAATCTGCATAACATGTGAAAATACATTGCTTCCTATGGTGCCTGTTCACATATGTCCGGAGCACTGTCGGTGAGTATTCAGTGCGGATTCAGCGTGGTTTTGAAAGGGTCATGCCCGATTTCTGAGCAGTGCGGTCCGGTTCAGGTGCAGATTACAGGCTATTGACTTTTATTTAATCCATTTCTAAACCGGATATGTGTGAACAATATAAGATCCTGAGCTAATCCTGTCCTGAACCTGATGTAAACCTGATGAACAACCTGTGAACAACTACTGTGTCAATTAGCTATGAAACCTGAGCTTCAATCTGAACCGCATGTATGTGCATCAGCTCTTAAGGCAAATTGATCCTACAGAGAGAGCAGGAGGGGATGAGGAAAATCCCTTCCCCAAACCCCTGCGAATAATGAACCTGTAAGCAACATGTATTATATCACTTCCAGGTCCACAGCTGTTACTCCTCAGTTACTGTAGCCAAGGATGCAGCTAATCAAGGACAATGTGTGCTTGACTAGCTTCAGTGGAGAACAGAGGAGACATTGGGGATTTAATAGACCCCTGGTGTCTCCATAAAAAGTACCAGTCACCTGCCCATGCTTGTTAGCCCCCTTGTGATAGTAATACATTTAAATAAAAAAAAATTAAAAAAAATCTAAAAATAATTTTTAAAAGTTTTTAAAGCAGCCCTGTCACTACTGTACACACACCAATTCATAGGCCAGCACTAAACATTAAAGTGGTACTAAACCCACAATAGTAAAATCAGTCTGTATATGCAGTGAAGTATGCTTGTTATACTCACTGTGAAACCTAAGGGGTTAATCCTCTGCATTGTGTAAAAAGGATGTTTGATCCTGTCTTCTCTGATCCTCCCCTTCTTCCACTTTTCCCATTTCATCCTGATGAAACACAGCCTCGGGGACACTCTGCACATGCTCAGTTTGGTGTGTACTGCTAGAGAGTTTTTTCTTTTTCTTGGGAGAGTGCATGTGAGTAGCACAGGGCCAATCAGCACTGTCCAGTCAGAGGGTCAGGGGTTATGCAATCTGGGCAGTGAGAGGAGAATGAAAACTCCTACAAGCTTTAACCAGTGCTCAGCTGAACAGTGATAGAAGTTTCAAGACTGCTCCAGCTGCTAATGAAAAAAGGTATTTAGCAGTTTACATTCACTAAAATAATTGCATTTCCATGTTCTGCGTACTGTGGGAGATCAGACATAGTGAATGCAGGGTCCTGGGTTTAGTAACCCTTTAATTGAGCTACACATGTAAGGTATTGTCATGAATAGGAATCAATATAACATTAATCACAGCAGCGCTCCACACTTTTAAAATTGGTTGCATGCGTTTTTAGCACATGTAAGGTATTGCCAAGAACATTGGAGCGAGGGCAACAATTCTAGAACATTGCATTTCCAGCAGGATCAACAGTTATTTTCTGTAATGTTGAGAATGTTGACTGAAAAAAAGAAAACAAATGCAGCCACCACACTTAAAGGACTGATAAGATGCAATATATTAAATCTCTGTTTAATTAATTCATAGCTGCAAAAAATTGTGTAATGTATATCTTTTTTCCTAAAGCATAATGGATCTGGCATACATCCCTTTATGCATGACACCCACCTTTCAGAGTTTACATATATTCACTGTCCTAGAGAACGATGATACTTTATGTACTTTATTGGTATTTATTGTTACTTATAGGGATTAGCCATGACCTCAAGAGACAGTATCATCATGACCTCAAAGACATCATGACCTTAAAGAGAAAATATCATCATGGCATACTGGCATATTCCTGCCGTATCTCCAAAGGCATGCAAGACTGCATGACCTTAACCTCCCTGGCGGTATTCCTGAGTGTAGCTCGGGGTAAAGTTTCAGTACCAAAAGCGGTAACCCCGAGCTACAGTCGGGCTTACCATGCGGCGTTGCTCAGGGATTCCCTGCAGCACTTACCTTGTCCTTCGCTCCTGCGACGTGTCCCCTGCAGCATCCCCGGCCATCTCCTCCGGCCGATGCCGGCATCCGGCCTGTTCCGGTCCCTGTGACGTCGGGACATTACGGGCGGCAAATTTGAAAGTTTTAAAAAATGCCATTTTTTTAAAAACAATTATTACATAGTATAACATTGCTGTTTCAAAGCATTTCACATACATTTTGTCCCCACTGCTTTGTCCGGTGCCCTGCCTGCATTTTGACTGTTCTTTCTGCCTGGAAACTGAGAAACGTCCATGGCGTCCAAAAAGCGTCCCTTTAGGTCAAAAGCGGTTTTAGATCAGCTAGAGAACAGAGATAGTAAATCAGAACCACTTGCAGAATTGAGTGTTAATAATGATTTGTGGGGAAATTCGTCATCAGACACTGAAAACTATTCTGCGACTTTGCTCAGCGATGTGCAAACTTGGCGCTATATTTCAAATTTCAGTGTTTTTTGTTTGATTACATTAATGAATTAAATTTATTATTATATTATTATTTTTTATGTTTATTTATTAAATTATAATTTATGATTTTGTGTTTCAAGTTTTATCATATCTGGAATGTTTACTAGACTCTTGTTTCGGACAGCTTTCAGTGAGTTATTCCTAAAAATTACAGCCTACAATAAAAAAACTACAGATTTCCATGCAAAAAAATGTACCGCTTTCAGCACAAAAAATCTGAAATAATCATACCGCCAGGGAGGTTAAAGAGGCAATACCATCATGACATGGTGATATATTCAACATAAGCACCTTGCCTTATCTCCATAAGCATGCATGTATATAGGCTATAAAAGGGTTCTGAATTGGGAAATACCTGTTTGGCAAGGTGTCCTCACCTAAAATACTAAAGGGTTTAGGGCTACTTCATTGTTGCGATTTCCTCTGACTGGACTATTGTCTAAATGAAGTCAGCAAATACATAGGGGCCTGGCTATCCTCCCTAAGACCCGACACGTTGCTGTTTAGAATTCCAGACTGGTTTTCTCCCCTAGCTGATAATAATTTTTTTCCTTTTCCAGTACCCAAAATGCCTCCATTAAGTTAAGGCAGCTCCCCCCCCCCAAAAAAAAAAATAGTAAAAAATTAATTGCTAAAAGAAAAAAAGAAAAGTGAAAAAGTAGGTAGTGCAGGTGCTCTAAAATATATGGCGGCCTGGAATTCAACTATGAATATCAAGAAGATTAAAGGGCAATTTATGAAGGCAAAACATACATTTTTTTTACTACTCCTGATGAATTTTGCATTAAGACACATTCTTTTCCTTCCTTTAAAAGTGCATATTTTTCATACATCTCTTCTCATCAATGCGGTGTTTTCTAATACATTCAATAGATTACTAATAGTATTTTTTCGTATAGACATATACTTTGGTATCAATAGATTTGTTCATTATCCACTTTAGGACCGCCCACAGTACTTTTACTGTATATATATGTGATTCTGCATTTCCAGGTAGGGAGCTGATCGCGGCCCTGGGTATCATTCACCGTGTCCCAGCTGTGATTACCTGCCGGCGATCACTGACAGGGAGGAGGGCTGCATTGTTTACCAACAGCCCTCCTCCCTGTCAGTTTGGGCACACTGCTCTGGATGGCTGAGAAGAGCCATGCCGATCAGTGTGCTTACAGTGAAGCACACCCCCACCCCTAGTAAATCACTCTCATCACACAGTTAACACTTTGATTGCTCCTCATGTTAACCCATTCCTGCCCAATGCCATTAGCACAGTGTCAGTGCTTTTTTTTTTAGCACTGACCACTGTATTGGTGTCACTGGGGATGTCAGTGACAACAAGTCAGTTCCCCCCAGTGTCAGAATGCCCACCTGTTTTTTCCTCTCAAAATTGTCGGGGGTTTTTTTTATAGCGCAAAAAATAAAAAACGCACAGGCGATCAAATACCACCGAAAGAAAGCTCAATTCGTGGGAAAAAAGGACGTAAATTTTCATTTTGGTGCAGTGTTGCGTGACCACGCAATTGTCAGTTAAAGTAACAAATAAAAAAAAAAATAAAAATAATAATAAAATAAATTAAAAAAAAAAAAAAAAAAAAAAAAAAAAAAAAAATAAAAAAAAAATAAAAAAAAATAAATAAAAAAATAAAAAAAAAATAAAAAAAAAAAAAAATAAAAAAAAAAAAAAAAAAAAATAAAAAAAATAAAAAAAATAAAAAAATTAAAAAAAAAAAAAAAGCAGCGCCGTAACACAAACCACTTCATTAACTGCGTCCTGACCGCCCTATAGCAGAAATACTGCTACAGGGCGGCACGGGTGCGCAAAATCACATATATATATGTTATTCGCGCTTTCGTGGTTTTCCTGCTCCTCCCAGATAGCATCAGATTGCCCATCAGTACACCAGTAATCATATTTAACCCTTTGATTGCCAGGAACAGGCTCACATACACAATAAACCTCTATTGCTAGTATAGTGTCTGAATGGATCAATATCTTTGATCAGCATTCACATTAGTATAGTTCCCCAAAAACACAGCGTTAACAGGATCAGCCCCAGCACCTGCCAGCGCCCAGGGGTTAGTGTTATCCTGGCATTTCAGGGCCTCTGAAACTGTGATAGGTAGTGAGGAAGTGAAATGAGGACGTTACGCACCTTCAGGCTTTCAAAGTGGTAATTGGATTTCAGGCTCCTGTACTGTATGTGGCTAGGCTTCCAAAAAGTCTCACACATGTGGTATCCCCATACTGATAGAAGTAGCAGAATGTGTTTTGGGGTGTAATGCCACATATACCCATAGCTTGCGTGAGCAATATATAATTTAAATGACAACTTTGTATAAAAAAAAAAAAAATGTTTTTGTCATTTTCTGAAAACTTGTGGAAAAAACATAAATCTTCCATGGACTCAATATGCCTCTCAACAGATACCTTAGGGTGTCTACTTTCCGAAAAGGGGTCATTTGGGGGTCTTTGTACTGTCCTGGTATTTTAACATCTCAGGGAATGTGATGGGCAGTCAGAAAGTAAAAGCCGTGTGAATGCCATTATCTATACCATAGTTTGTACCAGGGGGCGGACTGACAACTCATGGGGCCCCTGTGTCCTTGCCCAAACTCAAAATAGCCTATTAAAAAGGTACCAGGGGCATCTCATGGGGCCCCCTACTGACCCCAGGCCCTCGGGTAGTGCCCGAGTTTCCAAATGATCAGTCCGCCACTGATTTATATATGCTATGACTTTCACACAAAGCAATCAATATACACTTATTGGGATTTTTTTTACCAAAAACATGGAGCAGAATACATTTTGGCCTAAATTTATGATGAAATTTGAGTTTTTTGGATATTTTTTATGACAGAAATGAGAAAATATCGTTTTTTTGTTTTATTTATTTTTTTCAAAAATTTATTTTTTCAAAAAAATTTTTTTTTATAGTGCCAAAAATAAAAAGCACACAGGTGATCAAATACCACCGAAAGAACGCTCTATTTGTGTGAAAAAAGGACATAAATTTAATTTATGTACCGTATTGCATGACCGCGCAATTGTCCATTAAACTAGCGCAGCGCTGTATAGCAAAAAAATGACATAAATTACAATATCTATACCATAGTTTGTAGACGCTATAACATTCACACAAAGCAATCAATATACACTTATTGGGATTTTTTTACCAAAAACATGGAGCAGAATACATTTTGGCCTAAATGTATGACTAACTTTGAGTCTACTATATATTTTTTATAGCTGAAAGTAAAAAATATTGTTTTTGTTCAAAATTTTTGGTCTTTTTTTGATTATAACGCAAAAATAAAAAGTGCAGAGGTGATAAAATGCCACTAAAAGAAAGCTCTATTTGTGTGAAAAAAAGGATGTAAATTTCCTTTGGGTACAGCATTGCATGCTGTTCTGGCCAGCTCAGTGGATTGCTTTAAAAAAGGCCTGGATTCTTTCTTGGATACACAGAATATAACTGGATCAGAGGCGGACTGACAACTCATGGGGCCCCCGGGCAATAGGGGATCATGGGGCTCCTGTGTCCT